ATTTTCGGCATTATTATTTCGGGGGCCCTGAAAATAGAGATTGATCAATCAAGGGGGGGGGGGGGTATTTATTAATGCGAAGTAAACATTATCTTGTTTGTCTCAATCAGGACATGTGAGGTGGTGATGGACGCCTCAGGGACTTTCACCACCAGAGCCACAGCCACCGTCGCCACCGCAAGCCCCCCGCGATAACTAGATAGACTCCCGTCATCATGCTGTCATCACCCCCGCTGCCACTGCCACCGACGCAACTGCCACTAACACTGTCACTATTCTTTTGTCGTCGAAACCGTCATCAGGCCCATCCCTATGATGAACAGCCCTAAACCCTAAACCCTCAACCAAACATACTTGATATTTTGCAGGTGCGCAGTTTTTCCAGATCCTCTCGAAAACAGTCTGGGCCTGGGGAGTGGAAACCCTGAATAGCGGCTTTCAGTTCATTGTCTGCTCCACTTGATTCTCTGTTGTTAAGGCATTTTCTATGCAATCCCTATAAGGTCTTGTATAACGATTGCTGAATATGCGGCTCCCACAGCTCTTCACAGGTTGTGTCTGAAGGTCCCTGGTTAGTCGAACCTGCTTATAAAATGCATCTGAAAAAGATTTTGTCTGTAGGTACAGCTACGAATAGCTTACCGTCCAAACCCTATCTCTTAAACCCAAATTACAGTACATTTCCCTGTACACCCTTCAGAAGCTGTAAGCACAGTTTTAGATGGGTTGTCATGACCCATGGACCTCCAACCGAGGACCAGGCCAGTGGAAGCTCGCCCCATGGAATCCCGCAGTCGCGCCTGCAGAACTCTAACCCTAAACCCTTCCCCGAAGGATCCAAAAGAGCCCAATGTAAGTAATATTTGAAGACTTTAGGGCAGGGCACTCCCACCCCAACATCCAACCAACCAAAGTAAGATGTTCCCAACCCCCAAAGCTTGACAGCTGCAAGTAGAACAAGGAGACAACACCGCAAACAACAACAAAGACTGGTTAGGGTTCAGGGTTCAGGGTTGAAGCTTTTCAGGTGCAGGGTTGAAGGCTTGGCATGGAGCAGTAGACACCTAATCCCCAAACCCGCAGTTCCACATTCCCAACTACGCATGGGCAGCAAAAGGCCTGTAGAAGGCGCGTTGCGAGACTTACGCCAAAGCGTAGGCTGCCTCGAGCTTGCGAAGGGTCTGCACCCCCAAATGCATGTAGTAGTCTTGTTGAGTCTATTTTTGGTTTTGGGCCAGTATCTTACCTACCCCTAAAGGGTCCAAGTATCTTATACTCATATACTTACCCCAACCCTGCACTATAAATACAATTACCTAAACCCACCAAGTACTCGGACCCTAAACCCTAAACCCTCAATCCAATGCATCCCAATAGACCCCCATATCTCCTTAAACCCTGAGACTCAAATCGTGGCTATTTCTATAATATGAGCCATAGTCCAAACTCCTAGTATCCCCCTTTATATACCCTATAGTAGTCCCCCATATAATCACCTATATAGCCCCCCCTTTAAAGAGTTTAGACTATGGTTCATATAGCCCTATACATCCCCTTTAGAGGGACAGGTAGACTTTGAGGCTGACGGTTTCTGTTCAGGGCAAGGTTAAAGGTTTTTAGGGCTTAAGGCTTAGGGTTTACGGTTTAAGGTTTTTAGGGCTTAAGGTTTAAGGTTTAGGGTTTTTAGGGTTTAGGGTTTAGGGGGGGGGTTGGGCTTAGAGCTCGGAGTAGAATTATTCTCGCTGGCTACCCGAATGCTTCAGCCAGAATCCCAGAGAGCTCATGCAGTTGTATGGTATGAGGTTTAAGGTTCACTGTTTGGGATTCCGGTTAGGCATATGGCATATACTTAGGGCCCAAAGGTTTCCCCATACAGCTTCTTCGGGGCCCAAGTAGAACCATACAGCTACATAGGCCCTGTGGGAATGTCATCAACCTCGAGCCACATGTGCCTCCCTAAACCTTAGACCCTTCATGCTTGAAGCCGGACCCCCTTCCACCCTCCTGGAATCTAATATGAAATCTAATATGAACTATAGTCTAACCATAGAATCCCCCTTAAAACGCCTGTAGTGCCCTTCAAGGAGTTTAGGCTATAGCTCATATGTAGCAGCCACCTTGCGGGACAGTGGTCGTTCGAGAGCCCCGCGCAAGGTAAACACTTCCTATGCCTGCTTAACCTGCATATGTGGGTTGTAGCCAAAGGGGGGGTCCAATACAAACTCCAGTATACTCTGACCCTTATTATGGGGACGCACCCAAAGAGGATCAAACCTTTTGCAAACTGCCACTTATGAAGCCCTTTCAGCCCCAAAGCCCTAGACATAGCACTGCAACCCCTGAAAGTCCCACCCAAACCCTCGACCGTCTTCAGCCCAACGCTACTGCAAACCCTCAACCCCTATAAGCCCTAAAACTTCCTGAAGCCCTAACACCCTAAACTAAGGGGGTTTCTTGGTGTAGGGTTTGGGGGTGAAGGGGTTTCGGGTTTTGGGATGTAGCGTTTCACCCTACACCCTAAATCCAAGAAACCCTACACCCAACTACCAGCTTCCGTTTCATTTCCCCTTTTCTTTTGCATTTGGTTACCCATCATCCCTTACAATCTCTCTGAGCCCAAACCCTAAATCAACCCCAAACCCTCAAGCCTACAACCCTGCAAACCCAAGGCCTGGATGACAACTGTAGATGCACATGCCAGGCTTGGCGCGCCGGCCTTGGAAAACAAGGCTTCGGAAATATGCACCAAGGGTTTAAGGTTTTCGGGTTTTCCTTCAACCCTAAACCCTGGGGCTTAGGGTTAGGAGTTGGAATTCTATTTAGGGTTCCAGGGCTCAGGGATGTTTAGGGTGTATGTTTAGTACAAACCTTTGGGATGCATGGGATAGCCTTCAAGTTCACCTAGCATCTTCGGGTGGGGCTTGGGGTTTGGGATTGAGTAGGGTTTAGGGTGCAAAGGTCAAGTTTCATGGCTTTATGGCTCTTTGCGTTTCCAGGGCTCAGGGTTTCACAAGGGCTTGAGGCTGAAGGTTCCTGGTATATTCAGAGTTCGGGCCGTACGTTTCAAGAATGAAGGGGTATATCTACAGCTGATAACCCTAAACCCTAAAGCCTAAACCCTAACCCTAAACCCTAAATCCTACTATGGCCACGGTTGTCCGGCACTTCCTACTTGTACTATGACAATTTCAGCCTCGTGGCTGCAACAAAGCTGCTCCCGCAAACTCTACGAGAAGGGATTTAGGGTTCAGGATTTTGAGGTTCAGGGTTTAGGGTTAAGGATTTAGGGTTCAGGGTTTAGGATTTCTCTAAGGGTCCAAGTACTCAATATTCATATGCTCCCCCAAAACCTGTACTAGAATTACTATTATCCAAAACCCAAGTACCTAATTATTGGGTACATGGACCCTCTGGGCTAGACCGAAAAACAAGTGGAGATCCCGAAATGAATATGTATTCGTACTACAATGCACTTAGAAAGGTCATGTCTACGTGTGTATATATATATATATTGATTTACAATGTTTGATACAAGTATGTTATATATAGTCTAGAGTATGGATCCACTCCTGCATTCTAAGCCCTCAACCCTACTCCCTTGTGCGCAAGTTGAGAACTTAACCTCAAAGGTTACATGGTTTAGGGTTTAGGGCTTGCGCCACCTTGGGCCCTTGTTGGGGGATCCCTTTGCAAAGGATTATTGCTGATGGATGAGGCCTCTAGCTGAATCCAGAACTGCCCTAATTATGCGAGGCCATATATGCCCCTTCATACAGACCGTTGTCTACCCAGGGCAGGTTAGATTTTATGCTTGTTTGGGGAATGATAGTCCTTACCAGCCCAGGAAAGTCTTATCCTCTGCGAGTAAAATATTTGCAGCGCCTTCTGACCACAGCTTGCACTCTGAAATTCCGCACCTACACAATAATTCATAGGGTTTTTTCTTTGTACGCTCAGGGTTTGCACCCTTGGGTTTGGATCCCATAAACCATTGGATGTAGCCTCCATCAGCTTGTTGAAAAAACAAACCCAAAATCGACCGTAGCCTGATTCACTTCAAGTCCTTTTCAAGTCCTTCAATACACTCCTCACCATCGGCAGACAGCGCGTCTACACCCCGCAGCCTGGGCTGCTTTTTCAAGGAACTTGAGCTACCTTACCTCTACGGCGGAACCATTCTACTATGTACTAAGTGTCCATATTGCTTTTGATAACTTAATCTAAACTCCACAAATCCACAAAGGAATCCCGGTTGGCATGTCACTTTGGATGACCCGCGTTCTTTCCCATTTGGCTCTCCATTACTACCCTATACCCTAGATACCCAAGATCCCTAAGCCCTGAAACTTTAATCCTAAACCCCACAAACCCTGAGCCCGCAAACCCCTAAACCCTACGGTTAAGTAGATAGAATACGGGGTATATGGGGATCTTATTATAGTATACCCAAAGCCATATTCCATCTACTTAAGGGGGCCTCAAAACCTAAACCCTAAACCCCTAAACCTTAAACCCCTAAACCCTAAACCCCATATAAACTTTAAACCCCTAAACCCTAAACCCCTAAACCCTAAACACTATAAATCCTAACCTGAAACCCGAAACCCTAAACCCCGGTAAACCCAAACAGCAACCCGAGAGCCAAAGTTCCAAAACCTAAAGCTTCTTTGCCCACTGGGCTTCGAACTCTGCTCTGGCCTGCCAAATCCCAGAGGGTCCAAGTACCCAAAGATTAGGTCCCTTTAAAGGGGATATATAGGGGTATATAGGGATATATAGGGGTATATTAGGGCTTAGGGTTTAGGGTCCAAGTACCCAATCAGTAGGTACTTGGGTTTTGGGTAATAGGAATTAGAATACATGTTTTGGGTAAGTATATGATTATTGCGTACTTGGACCCTTAGGGAAATGCCAAAAGAAGACTGTTGGGTTGATAGGTTTAAGGGTTTGAGGTTGTACGTGTAGCAACTTGCGGGGGCTTAGGATTGTGACTTTGTGGCGGGGTATGAGGGTCTTGCGGTTTTAGCGTCAGGGTTTTAGCGCGTAGGATTTCAGTGTCTTAGGGTTTTGATGGTCTAGACGTTTACTGCTTAGGGTCTAGAGTGGAGGCCTGGAAATGCGGTCACGGGAGATCATTCTGCGATTTTCGGCTTTAGGATTGGGAGTTTCAGGATTTTTGGGGTTTAGGTTTTGGGGGTGGTGTAAAATTGGAGGCTTAGTGCAAGCTGTAAGGTTTGCCAGGGAAGTACCACAATTCTCAAGATTTGGGTCTGAGGTGTCATGCAAGGGGTTGTCCATCAGCAACATGTGGTGTCATAAGCATACTCTTGGGATGATATTGGGCGAAGGGAAATTCTGGGCAGTACCCCTAAACGCTAAAAGCCTAAATCTCAAGATCAAGAACTGGAAAATAAGGACCTATGCTGTGGGGGAGGAGAGGGGCTTGCCAGAATTGTGGGTACATCGATTTTCCCATGTAAGGGAACCCTCACGTGTGACATGCCAGCATGTGTTATGGTATGGTGGTGAACTGACGTGAGATTAAGCAGATGCTCAATACGTTTTGCGGGACATACGTAAGGAGAAAAGATGAGGTTCCATGTTGATAAAGACTGCAAGTTCCCATTTCATGGCAATAAGAAGCACCCATTAGGGTTTAGGGGCTTAGGGTTCTCGCGAATCTCCAGGTTGTGGAGTTCAAGGCATGGGGCTGGTTGGGGATCTCTGTTCTTGGATTTTGGCTGCTGCTTTCTCAGGTTCAGTCAGCTGAAGGTATCAACACGTAGGTTTGGGGTTCCTAGGCTACATGTTCCTAGACCCTGGGCTCTAATAAGCCCCCAAGCACAGGATAAGCTGACATTGACAGGGAATCCAAAGTAAAAGTAGGAACAACAAAAACAAACAACTCAAAACCTGCCCAAAGCTCCGGACATGAGCTTATGTAATTTCTCTCACCCTGCATCCTAAACCTTCTTCCTAATCAAACCCTACACTTCTTCTTCAGACGAAAACGGAGTGCCAGCTTGCCTGACACATCTGAGTGGCACCACGGTCTCAAACTGCTTCTGCTGGTGCTCGTATCCTGAGTCGTACTTAAAGGGGAGGTAGGGCGCGAACCGGGCGTTATATAGGGATACGTGTATATATGTAAAATGTATATATATATATATACGCACATGTAAACGGATCCAGGGAGTTCATTACATACAGGTGTTAATATTTGTGGGTCTCCCTATTTCTGGGAAACGCCACTTGGGGAGTTTGAGACATGGATTGGATATACAGCAGCGGTTCTGGGGACATGGAGAGCTCAGTATAACGCAAACCTGCTTTGAAACAATACCTATACTTCACGTAGCCAAGAATTGGAGGGGGGGTGACAAGAATGCGGTGCTACAAGCCCAGTAACTAGTACTTCCCAAATCCCATGAAACTGCAAGTAGGGGCTGACATCCACATACAGATGCAGAAGAAACCTTGTATGACGGCAAGCAAATCAAGAGAAGTTATGACTATAACCTACTCGTATTCGTACTTAGAATCAAAAAAACACACCCTACGTCCCTGGTATGCTTATAGACGGTTCCTTTTTTCAACTTCAGAAGCAATTGAGTTCCACCATCCATGAACGGTCCATGAACCTCCAAGTAGAGGTCCATGCTACTGTGGCTTGCACACGGATTTTTACGGAGATAACCTTCCCAGTTGTTCCTGTTCTCAGACCTAAAACCCTCAACCTTAGCCCTCAACGGATTTGGGGCTTCGGTTTTAGGGTATAGGGTCCAGGCTTAACCAAACCCTAAACCCCTCACCCCAATCCTTTCAAGCCCAAACACTAAATGCTTAAGCCTAAAGCCTCAATCCCAAACCTTCTAAGCCAACATGTTAAACCCCAAGTTAGGTCTAAAGCCTAAGCCCTTCAAATTTCTATCTGAAGTCCCAACCTTTGACACACTAAAACACTGAACCTCTTACCTTTCAACCCTACTCCTCGACCCCAAACCCTTACTTAGACTCACAGTATATGAAGCACACACCGCCAGGGCGTCATACTCTCCAGACTTAAGCCCGTAACGCTTCAGCTGAAAGCCGTACAGCATTGGTGTGGGGAGCCGACTCACTTTGACTGCGTTGCCCTCGCCGATGCATCGCCGGACAAATCTGTCCGATGGCACGGTTCCGAGTCTACCCTACAGGGGCTAAGTAATCAAATACTTTAGGGCACCTAAAGCTCCAATGTTGAAGTACCCCTGGGGATAAAGTCTAGAGTATAGATTTTACAGTAGGCTTCAGAGAAGGGCTTGGTGATTACAGTCACGTGTTTTGGGCAGTTTGCAGTCTGTCCCTTGCCCCACAGACATGGAAGACCGTCTTGTACTCGACAAAACGGACAACAGTCTTCGTAGAGCCTTTTGGGGCCCTAGACCCCAAACACTACACCCTAAACCCTGCACCCTAAACCCTAGACCCTAAACCCTGAACCATACACCCTGATCCCTGCACCCGAAACCCCAAACCCTACACCGTACTCATCGACCCTAAACCTTGCATCTTGATTTGTGGGAGGGAGGAGGGTGTTGGGTGCAGGGTTTATGGTTTGATGCTTTTGGTTTGTGGTGTACTCGTCCAAAACGCTAACCCCAAGGCGAAGCAGCAAGCCACCTACTCTTTGTGGAGGCAGCCATACACCACCCTCACCGCCCGGGTCCAAGTACCTAATATTTGGGAAGGTTTGGGTAATAGGAACTATTATCATCGTACAGGATTGGGGATGTATATGTTCATGGGTACTTGGACCCTGAGGCAGTTGCAGTTGTTTAGGTGTGCCAGGCGCTGCAAGCTTATCTGCATCAGAGGTGTCTTTTGACGCAGGCAGATGCTTCAACTCCCTAAGGGTCCAATGACCTAAATGTTAGGGCTCTAGGTCCCAAATACCATTCAGATTATAGTAGTCCCCATTCTTTGAGTCCCTGGACACTTAAGGACTTACACCTACTACATCAGCCCCTCCCGATCCGGATAGCATGCGACGTGTCACCCTGACCAGATCCCTACGCCTCTTCCAAAAACCTAAAATACTCTTAGCGTGTCAGGAGTCTACCAATTCTGAAGTTTCCAGCTTCGGATGAGTACGATTAAGGCTTAAGGTTCCGAAAGGGATTCGGCGTTCAGAGTTTATGGCCGCAGTGTCTCAGAGTTTTGGAGTTTAGGGTTTGGAATTTTCGGAGAGCAGATGACATTTGGATGTTGGGCTTGAGGGCGCGCATATGAGGAAACGCAGCATGACGGAATATACCCAAGTTTTCAGAACTTCCATTGGTATCAAAAAGCCACAAAATCACTGTGCCATTATCACCCTTCATAACCCCTAAAATAATCCCCTATATCCCCTATGTAACCCCCTTCAAGGAGTTTAGACTATAGCTCGCATGAGGAAATCCCCTCACAATGTCCCTTCACCCCTACTCCGCAGATAAACCAGCCAAACAACTATGCATGCATCCAAAAATGAGGGGGAAATATATTGGGCTTATATTGGGATAATGGAAAAGAAAATGGAAACTACTATTTGGGGTTTGGGAAGGGACCTACGCAACCCAACATACCACAATCCTCAGTTCAAACACCCAAATAAACGCTTCATTTTCGAAGCTGTCAGAATTGTATCCGTTTGGGTCTGTTTGTAACGAGGCCCCGAATATGTGGGGTAATCGAAAATGGTCACAATTGTGACATGCTACCAAATACGTTTCCACATTTGTTTGTAACCTGTCAAAGACGAGCCTTTCTCCTTTGCAGCTGACGTCCCATAGTCACGCCAAAATTCCCCAAGCCTCACATATCGAACCTACACCTTAAACCTCAAAGCCCGAACAACAAGAATAAAGCCACAAAGAAAGCCTAAACCATATCGAACCCTTGGCATCCAAGTCTACATATACATGATACCTACCTTGAGACATAAAAGACAATCAGAATCTATAAGTGCTACCTACATTGGGCTATTTGGATCCCGGACCCAGACCCTATGCAAACAGATTCCATGTCATTCTGCATGTTCTTGTCCGTTTGATTCTCCATTGTTGGTGCGTCATGAAAGTCAAACGCGCAAGCTCCACTGGCCGTCGCTCCACTTGCCACTCGACTCTGGCTGACCGTCTTGGACCCAAAGAAACTCGATCCTGAGGGTTTCAGGCTAATTTTCAGGCTTAAGGCGTTCCGATTCCAAAAGGGTTCAAGTATTCCGCAATCGGGTACTTGGGGTGTTGGGAGGAATGCTTGCAGTCCTGGTATTGGGGGAATTTCTGATGACTATAGGTAGCTGAACCGTGACCAAAGGAAGGATTGTAGCAAAGTGCGTGACACAATTCTGGAAGGGAAATACAAGAGTTATTGAAAGCAAAATGCCGTTGTGCAAAGCGTGCCACACTTTTGTAGTTAACTCTCCACAAGCAAGGGACACACAACTTTGGGATGATGGCCTTCTGAGTATGAGAAATCTAGCAGAATACGAGGCCGTGCTTTTGAACTGAAAGGTGACAAGGGTGTAGCATGGGGAAGGTTAACTGCTTAGAGGCCGGGGGCAGGTGAAAATGAGGTTGGTACCCCATCAGCAGACTGATACCCCCATGTAGAACCACTTACTAAGTCCCCTGAACCCTTAACCCTATATATGCCTACATAGTCCTATAAACCCTTTAAGGGGTCCTTACAGCCTACTTGCTGAGTCTCTTGAGCCTTCAAGTAGGGTGAGTCTCTGCTTCAGGGTTCCCGGTTTGGGGTGTAGGAGTTGAGACCCTGGGGCCGGGAAGACTTCCACATTCCCTGCATAACCCTGATCCAATCCCAATACAATCCCCAAATAAACCCTGCATAATCGTCCTGTGGAATCCCAGTTTAGGGTTTAGGGTTTAGGGTTGGGGTCTAGGGTTTAGTGCTTTAGGGTTTAGGGTTTACGGTTGTAGTTTCACGAAGAACTAGGTTCGCAAGGATCATCTGTGTTTCTTCACGCATAACCTTTCCGCACCTGTACTTGCCCGAAACCAATCCTGGGGCTCTCAGTTACCTAGATGATAGGTCACTGGGCTATGTAACTATAGGGTATACAGAACCCAGAACCCATTATTTAGGTAAAAGGGACCCGCGCCAGTGTCATGTTACAGGCTGTCCAGACAATCAGGGGCCCCAGAAGCATTGAAAAATCCTAAGCTAGGGTCCCATCCATTAACAGTCTATAAAGGGCGCCAGATTAAGGGATGTATATAATGAGATTAGAATTATACAGCAACTGTTAATGAGTGGGGGCAGTACCCAACCCTAAATATTCAACCCTAAGTTGCGGCTTCTTCGGCGATCTTAAACTGGGATATTAGCAGGATGACTCTGATTAAGCCGCAAAATAGGTCTAACCCCAAATGCAGCAGCTACCCATCACCTCAAAAGTAGATAGTGTTCATATCCCCAGCGATCCAAATAGCCCAATGTAGGTAATACTTACAGACTTGGGGCCCCTATGTAGGTGTTATTTATACATTTTGATCCCTAGGGTATTCTGGAAACTGCCAAACCGAGCTTGCTGATTCCAGCGAGGTTCTTGTCGTTGTACTTGTACTGCTGCCTGAGCGGAAAAGGTTACATGAACAGCTCAGCACAACTTCTGCTGGCCTGACAACGGTTTTTGAGGCTTCTTGAAAATCTGGGGTTTCAAGACGAAGGAGCGCCCTATGGCAGTTGCCTCCAAATAAGGATTAGCATATTTGGGTCTACATTGGGAACGAAAGCCGCTAAATCCGCCATATTCCCACTTGGAAGTTCAGTGCACTTATGATCTGTCTATAATTTGTAACTGTAGCTACAACCTTACCCACCTGAGACCCAAACATGGCTATGGTTGGGTTACGGAACAAGACTCCTGGTACCCCTGGACCTTCAAGCATAATTTTTTGAAGGGGAGGTGTTCAGTGCGGAGGCTTTTCCAAGGTTTGCCTTTAGGTATTTCATGTAAGATCTATTAACGTGCAGAATGATTCAAAGGTCACTCACTGGACAGAGACCTCCCCCCACACTAATGGAGGAGACTGAATGACTGCTAATATTGCAATCCCAGATTACGTGTAGAACTGCTGCAAAAGCTACTGCCAAAAGACTGCAAAATCATATGAACAATTTCTTAGGATATCTGAGTATTAGGATCATCCCTATACATGTCCATATCCACAGTCTCCATGTTCCCTTCCATGTTCTTTCCATTTCATCCGCCACTATTGGCAAGCATTTAGGTCACTACAAAATCTGCTTGAAGGATGCAATTTCCAGAGTCTGCAACTTCGACAGGTTAGTCAAAAACCATGGGCTGCTTCATGACGGATAGGGTTCAGGGCTTCCGCGCTGATTGGAAATGCAAGAATCAAGCATTTTCCCATCATCCGCGGAAGCCTGAACCGCCTCTAAACCCTCAAAAGCTCCAGATCATATACCCTCTAGCCCTGCACCTATACACTATGTATAAAGAAATGGGTTGTGGTAATCACAAACCCCCCAAAATTAGAACCCTATGACAATCATATGATGGTCATAGTCCTAATTTTGGGGGTTTACCAATGTACACACTACGTCAAATACCTGAACCCCGTCTGAAACCTCACAAGCGGCAGCAAGGGCCTAAGTGCCCAAACTTTAGGGCCCAAATACCGTTACTATGAGAATATTTGGGCCCTAAACCCCGTTATTTGGGTCCTTGGACCTTTAGGGTACTATGTACTACTATATGAGCCATAATCTATACTCCATAAGCTGGGTTGTATAGGGGACTGTTCTAGGGGTTACTAAGAGGGATACTAGGAGTTTAGACTACAGTTTATGTATTAGGGTTTAGGGTCCAAGTACCAATAATTCGGTACTTGGGATTTGGATAATGGTAACTACAGTACTGGTTTTGGGTAAGTATATGATGATTTGGTGCTTGGACCCTTAAGGTTACATTATATGTATCATGAAAATCTTGAGAGCGATTTAGCAGCGGGGGAGCAATAAGAATGTCCACAGTACTCCGGATAGTTTGAGATGATAAGAGGACTCCTATTTGCTCTGACCTCCCCCTGAGACTACTCTCTCGACACCCGTCATACTGAATACTCTTCCTAATTGCTTTGTGATATTGCATTTTTTCTGGGGGGGTGTCACTATTTTAACCATCAGGGCGCGGTGATTAGGTCATGCAGGAATTTGTTCATCACCGGATCCTGCACCACAAGTCCAAAACAACAACCGGAGAGCCTATAACTCCAGGGCATAAGGCCTCAGTCCTAAAGCGCTGAACACTAGACACAACGCCGAACGGAAACCAACAATAATTACAAACATTATGCCCAAAAACCCTACACCCGTGGTGGTCCATGACTTCAGGTTCCTTGCGCATTTATTGGCTACTTAAGGTATCTAAAGCAGACCCCAAAATGATGTTGGCCATTTCTTAAATCTCTACATGAGTTGTCCTCACCTAATTAGGGTTGGCCATTTTTTCGGTCTCTACATGAATCGTCCTCATCTAAGGGCAGCGCTGGCTCGTATCATCTCTGATGAAGACATACACTCGAGCCTTTCCAAAACTGGGCGACATTCAACAGGAATGAAAGGGGCTTGCGGGATCCTAGGGCATCACTATGTAAGGGTTGCAAAAGGAAATGCATCCGGTGGTTTTGGCGTCTACGCTACCACACACATGTGAAAACATGATCCCTTTATTTGCAGGCTTCCCCGTCAAGGTATTCCCGAACTTACGTTCAAACGCGGACGCGTGCTTAGGGCGTAGGAATACCTTGTGGGTTTCTGCATGTATGGCCATACATGCAGCCTCTCAACACAAATTCTAATTTCTGAGTGATATGATAATTTCTCAAAATGGGGGAACCCCAAAATAAACCCCAAAAATACTACAATCCTTAAGATGGGACCCCCAAAAGAGTACCCCTAGTTTTGGGAAACTCCCATATCTAGGCGCATCCTGCAGCTTCTCTGGGGCCGTTTGCAGAGCCTCAGGGTTTGAGAATCACAGCCCGAGGCCTCTCTACCGCTACTTTGCAATCTGTGGCCAAAAAGGTTAAGGCTTAAGAGCTTACCTGGACCCTGGATGTCCTTCCTTTTTGGGGTTATGTCCTATAAATTTGTAGGGTATACCCCCAGAAAGGTAGGACATCCAGGGTCCAGGTAGGGCCTAGCGTAAGTTTAGGGCCGAAAGCCCTAAACCCTAAGAAGTAAATCGCCTCCTTCTCCACCTCTTCCACCATCTCTGCAGTCAGTGCCTGGCACGACGATGTTCTCTTGTCGCATCTTGATGGATGACAGGGCGAGATTCCGGGAAAGTTCTACAAACCTCAAAATCAGCCAAGTTGGCATTGTCCACTCAAATCACCATTTTGGGGGCGAGCTGGTGACAAGGTTATCATTTGCACAAAAGGCTAGGGACTACGGTTGAAAGGAGCCTTTGTGGTAGCCGAAGTCTTATACAAGGAAGAGCCCAAGCCATCAACCCTAAAAACCCTGAGCCCTTCACCCTATATCCTGTTAGGGTTTAGGCTTTAGGGCGTTTGCTGTGGGATTCCTCATTTGAGCTATACTCTAACCTCCTAGCATCCCCCTCATTATCCCATATATATATATATGTATATATAATCCCCTACTTTAAACGGTATAGGGTTTAGGGCTTAGGGATTAGGGTTTAGGTTTTAAAGATCAGGGTTCAGGGTTTAGGGGGTTCACGTCTTAAGTCCTTTCATATAGGGTCTAGTCTAGGAGCAAGGCTTCTGACAACTGCTTCTGATTCCATTGATGACCCTACCTATAATCCGACTAACTGGCTTTATGCAGGTTACCCCGCTAGGACTTCAACCACAGTTCTAGCCAAGTATGACTGAAAGGTCATTTTTTTGCAGTAAGTATACTGCAGCTGCGAAATCCATAGCTGCCCATGGACCCCCAAGTAAGCCCTGTTGACACCTGGGCAGCAATACATTGGGAGTCTGTGGGCCAGGAGGGCTTTGGGCATAAATGGTGACTCTGTTCGTGGAGTTCCCACGATACCCCCAAACAGACTGTGGTGACCATAGTCTGTTTAGGGTATGGGGTTTAGGGTTTAGGGAGAAAGCGGACGGAAAACAGTTTAGAGAAGGGTATACACAGCAAGGGGGCAGAAACCGGGAAGTGAACCTGACTCACGGCCCTCTTCTGAACGGGACCTCCGGCATCGTAGACTGGCGAAACGCATCAGCGTAGTGAGCTGAAAACCATATGAGCCATAGGTTTTAAGCTTTGGGGTTTAGAGTCTGAACTCCTAGCATCCCCCTTAATAACCCCTATAATGCTTCCCTGCATAACCCCCCATAGAGACCCCTTGTGGGAGTTTAACGGATAGCTCATACAACGAAAACTGCCAACCAGTTGACAAGATCCGAATATGTGTATATATATATATATGTATACAGCTATGTATATATATATATGTATATATATATAAATACGCACACACAGCTAGCGATGTTTGCTAGCTATGACCCTCTACATATCGCCATCATTTGTGCATTACCGTGGGGCTCCAGGTTTTACTACAATGGGCCCTAGACTCTGTAAGAGTTACCTGCATTGGGTTATTTGGATCCCAAACCCTATATGAACCAAGAGCCCGCGCTGTTTTCCATTTTCTTTTTTATTTGAATATGCATTGTTGGGGGTATATTGGGGTCCTCCCATTTATGGCAATTACCAACTCTACGCTTACCACTGTGCACTCTACCCTCACAAGCAACAGGATAAACCCCAAATAACTAAGTCCTAAGTCCTAATTTGTAAGCCCTCAACCCCAAACCCTATTTCCTAAACACACCCTAAGCCCTAAACCATAAACTCTATGTGCTTTTCAGGAGTGTAGGGATTGGCGCATGCCAAAGCAGATACCACTGCTACCTAGAGTCCTATAGATATGTATGTATATTATATGTACATATACATGTTCAAGGTTTAGGGGTGTATCCTGGGGCGTGCCCAAAGCAACCTATGTACCCCCAAAACACCTTGTCATACACAATAGTTCGGTATCTTTGACACGTTTTACGGGTGTAGATTAAGCTAAGTAGCCCTTCAAGGCACGGTCGTATTTAGAAACTTGAAACCCTAAACCCTGAACTCTGAATCCCAAAACCTACACCCTAAACCCTGAACCCTAAACCCTAAACCCTGAGGCCTAAATTCCAAACCCTGAACCCTAAACCCTGAACCCTAAACCCTAAACCCTGAAGCCTGAACCCTAAACCCTGACCCTAAACCCTGAACCCTAAACCCTACACCCTGAGGCCTAAATTCCTGCCCAGGCCTGCTTAGGCATACTCACCCTTTTCCAGGGTGCCTGGACCCAGAACTATATCCGTCAGCTATTCACACCATTGCTTGAATCTAGTAAGCAAGCCTAAAGAGTTTTTAGAGCGTGAGCTGCACCTCCAGGTGCTGGGACAGGAGCCCCGCCTAGGAAACCCCGCCTTTACTGTGACTCACTAAGTTATTAGTAACCGGGCCCAAACCCTCGAAGGCCCTCGGAAGGCTTTTAAGGCCCTCGAAGCGCTGGGAGATTGTTGGAGAATCTCGGAGGCCCTCGGAGCTTGGAGGCCTTGAAAAAGTCTTGGAGGCTCTTGACCCTCTCTCAAACGCCCTCGCAGGCGCTCCGCGCTCGGCGGTCCTTGCAAGCCCTCAGAACGGGGAGGCCACAACCTCTCGTCAGAGGCCCTCGAAAGGCCATGGGAGGCCCTGCCTGTGGCAGGCCCCTTGTTTCATTCAAGAGTTTAAAGAAAAGTGGGAGTTCAGTACGTCAGCCCGAAACCCGAAAAGGAATAAAGTTGGGCGGATGCCTGCGTAAGCAACGGGGGAGGAGATAAACCAACACACCAACTCTTGGTTTGTTGGGCACGAAAGATGTGCCGTCGCAAGACATGCCGCCCCCATACACCCCTGAGTGTGTCGGGGCGCCATTTCTACATGTTACCCCCAGCCGCCGCGCAGCAAGACGCCCTAAACCCTAAATCCTGAACCCTAAACCCTAAGCCCTGACACCTAAACCCTAAACCCTAAACCCTGAAACCTAAACCCTAAACCCGAGACCCTGAAACCTAAACCCTGAAACCTCCGAAAAAAACTCACCTCTCTGACCTTGCAAGAACCTACGCATGGGAACCCTAAGCTCAGCCCAGTAACATATGGGGGTTTCCCAAAACTAGGGATCCCTTTTTAGGGGTTCCTGACTGTAGTATATTGGGGTCTATATCGGGGTCCCCTTATTTTAGGAAACTACCATATTAGGGTTATGTTAGGGTTATATTGGGTTTATATTAGGGCTATACTGGGGTTATAGCCTTTGCGAAAAGACGCGCTAATCTTGTAATGTAAACGATCGTAGGGGGATACATGGCGTGTACCATGGGGATGTAGTCTTCCATCCCCTAAACCCTGCTAACCAGCAGTAAGCAACGTCAACATTGCTGCCTTCACTTCTTGCTCGGACACATCCATGACGCTGATTGCACTGATGTCGTCGGGCTTTACCAACTGGCATCAAAATTCAGGTTTGAGGTCTAGGTGGCTCTAGATGCAGGGTTCTAGCTGGTTTGGACTTCAGCTTCAAGGCTTAGACTGTGAAATGGGCAGAAGACCAATGTATCGCAGGAGCTACCAACCAGCACAAGGGACGTATGCGAAGTCTCTGTACAGAAGATCAACCGATAATCAGGGACTATGATAGCACAGGACTGAGCTAAGTTGTAGGTACAAGTTGTAGGTACAGGTGAGCCGTAACACACTGTGCGCACAAGTACACTCATGGAAGGGTTGTCGGGAGGGGTCAGTAATAGCTATCCAGAATTCACATTACAACTTCAAGGAGGGGCCCTTAGGTGTATGGAGGATTGTAAAAAGGATGCATATGTCAGTCCTTTCTCTTGTAACTATGGGACTCATGAGTACGGTTATCAAACTAGGTGGGCCCACCTTGTAGGTGCCCACGAATGCTACTGGGGCATCTCCCTCCCATCTACCGCATGTTTGATGCAGTGCTGCAAGTACTACAACGGCCCGATTGTTTAATCGCTTCCCCCTAATGATAAACGACGTCCCCCCCCTAATAATCAATAATCCGAGGGGTCAGAAATTATATATTATTAGGGGTGCATGTTTATTGAAAGGATTTGGTAGGGCCGCCTTTAAATCCCTTTTGAAATCAATTAAAATCGAATTAAAATCCGGTTAGAATGAATTGAAATTCAATGAGAATTCCTATTGAAATCAATTGAAATCGAATTAAACTCTCGTTAGAAGCAACTGAAATTTAATTAGAACGCCTTTAAAAATCAATTAAAATCGAAATAAAATCCCGTTAGAAGCAATTGAAATTTAATCAAACTTCTTTTTAACATCAATTAGAATCGAATTAAAATCCTGTTAGAATCAATTGAAATTTGATTCGAATTCCTTTTGAAATCAATTCAAATCGGATGAAATTCAATTGAGATTTAGTTAAATACGGCTAAAACTGTAATAAAATCAGTTAAAGTCGTATTCAGTTGTTGTATA